TCTGCTGTTTTTTTTTTTTTTTGTAGATTTTATTTTGATTTTAGCTTGACTTATGTGGGAACTGGAATGATATGTCCACATATAGTGAACATATCATTGCTTCTTGGAGCTGTTCTTTCATGGGGTGTAATGTGGCCTCTCATTGCAAAACTTAAAGGAGAATGGTTCCCTGCTGATATACCTGAATCCAGTATGAAAAGCCTTAACGGTTACAAGGTTAATTAATTTCCTTTCTTTTTCTCCTATTTGTACTTAATTAAAATCTAAATTTATACGGATTTTTATTCTAGTACTATATTTCTTGCGTTCTAGGTCTTCATCTCCATTGCCCTCCTACTTGGCGACGGCCTTTACAATTTTGTCAAGATAATGTACTTCACACTAGGCAGTGTTCATGAGAGGTTCAAACGCAAAAATCTAAGTCCAGGTAAACTTTAAAAGGAAAAATTATCACATGTCCAGATTAACTACAATTGTTATATGAGGATTAGGTATATGACTTGGTTTAGTTTCTTAATATCTCAGCAGCTGGGGTAAGACAGAACAAGAACTCAGGGGATGTAAAATATGATGAAGCCTTTCTTAGAGAAAGCATTCCAATGTGGTTTGGAGGTGTAGGGTATTTAGCCTTGGGAACTATTGCTGTGATTATGATTCCATTAATTTTCCATGAGATCAAATGGTATTGGGTTATCATAGCCTATCTTTTTGCTCCATCTTTAGCTTTCTGCAACGCGTATGGTTCTGGTTTGACTGATATAAACATGGCCTATAACTATGGAAAAGTTGGACTTTTTATGATGGCTGCATTGGCTGGTAAAGAACATGGTGTTATTGCTGGTTTAGCTGGTTGTGGTTTGATCAAGTCAGTGGCTAACGTTTCTTGCATTCTGATGCAAGATTTTAAGACAGGGCACTTAACTTTGACATCTCCAAAAACTATGTTTCTCAGCCAGGCTATTGGCACAGCCTTAGGCTGTGTGATTGGGCCACTAAGCTTCTTCTTGTTCTACAATGCCTTTGATATTGGCAACCCCAATGGTGAATTCAAGGCTCCTTATGCATTGATTTATCGAAATATGGCGATTATTAGTGTTCAAGGTGTCTCGGCTTTGCCTCACCACTGTTTGCAGCTGTGTTATGGCTTCTTTGCATTTGCTGTTGCAATAAATTTGGTGAAAGATCTTTCTCCAGAGAAGATAGGGAAATGGATGCCACTGCCTATGGCGATGGCGGTGCCCTTTCTAATTGGTGGATATTTTGGTATTGATATGTGCATAGGAAGTTTGGTTGTATTTGTGTGGCATAAACTTAACTCTAAGAAGGCTAAGGTGATGGTTCCAGCAGTTGCTTCTGGTTTGATCTGTGGAGAAGGTTTATGGATTCTTCCTGCATCTATCCTTGCTTTGGCCAGAGTAACTCCTCCCATTTGCATGAAATTTTTGGCTTCTTAAAGAACTTGATTGTACAACTGGTCCATAAAAAACTGGTGTACTTAATTTACAGGAGAGGATTTTGAGGTCACCTACAGCTCGTTTCATTTGGTTTTTCTGCATTCTTAGTCTAGGAAATGACAAAGTTGTACGTCACAGATTGAAATTTACAATGAGAACGGGTGGCATTTACAATAATAAATTTCTCGCCGATATCCTGTGCGAAATATTTGCTACTCTTGTTTGTCCTTCTATCACTTTTCAATCTTGAATCGTCCAAATCCTTCGTTTCTTTAGGGAGAAGAGAGGAGAATGAGACCCTAGAAAGAGACGTGGGGTGCGGTTGGGTCATATGCTCTGCGCGTTTAATTTTTAAACAATTATGTGTTTTCTTCTTCTATATCAGACTAAGTCAAGGTCAATTACAGTAACTGTCTCATGTCTGTAATAAACATCACGAATAGCCTGAAAAATGGTAACTTGCTTTGATCAATCTCGTTTACAATGTCTGAATATATCTTAAATCATTACCAAATGCATAACTAATTTAGCTATGCAGCATTTCCTCTTTCAATTTGAATGAGCGAATCAACTCAATAGACGATGGAACCCGTTAGCCAAACTATAAGAAGCCTCTAAGTATAAATTTGACAAAGTTTCTTCCTAATCCACATCTATGAAACATCAGTACGAGCCCAAATATTTGTAATCCTATGACGTACATCCGCTTAAAAGAAAAACGTCAATGAACCTCATTTCATGAGAAAAATTGAATTAATATACAAGTGTACATTAGCTGCAGACTCCAGAGGCTAATAAATCAGGCTTCTCTAGCAGGAATACCACCCTCGATGTTGATCATATAATCACAGGCAAAAAGCTTATGAAGTGATGATGCCTGCCAAAACATCACTCTTGCTCCTTGCACCTATTGTGTAAACCAAACGAATCGCATCAAGCCACCAGTCCAAAGATTCCCATGAATCTGCGATCTGAGAAATAAAACAATGTCAGACATTATAAAAAGGAGACTTATCAGGGAATGTAAAATGCTGAAGTCCAAAACGGGAGAATGTAAGACTAAAAAAGTGTTTCCCGTCAAAAGATTGATCTTAAAATGAACATATTTAATATTCAAAACTACATTTCCCCACCCTCACCCATTCCTACGAGGGGAAAAATCATGGACAACATAAAATTAACGAGCAAATGTTTCCATGAATAAGAATGGCAACCTGCACACAAATGTTCATGTTCACATCTTGAACCCTTTTTTGTTTGTTTTCCGGACTAATTAAATATGCTACATCTAGCACCATATGTGACGGTAGTTTAAGTTATTCAAATTACTGTAGCATCTTTGTAAGAACCTGAGAACAAGTCGTATACATAGCTGATAATCTCTAAATCTAGAGGCTCGGAGAGGAAAGATAATTGAGTGGGCAAAGTGTGAGATAAAGATATGATAAACAGGTCTGTTCAAATATTAGGTAATATCTGAAGACACCCAAATGCAGTCTTATCAGGTGTTACCAAAGTAGGCCTATGTGTGTTTTTTTGTGTGTGTGAGAGAGAGAGAGAGAAAGAGAGAAGGTAGATTTGACATGATCAAAAGTGGAGGTAGATTGCTTGCATAAAATCCAACTCTTGTCGAAAGGTATATGTATCTAAGCCAATTTGCTGTACAAGATGAAGAAAGTAAGTGGATCACCACAGCAAACAGGTCAAGGACAGTAAAGACTAAAGAGTGGGCCCGGGTTTGATGTTAATAAGTATCCATACAAACCCTAACACATAGGCAAAAGTTATTATGAAAGCATGGGCCCAAAGGGAGCAATGACTTTTTAAAAATCACAATCATTTGCTAAAGGAAGCCTTCAAAACATCCTACAGAGAAAATATTAGCTTTTCTTGACAAATTACAACTATAGTTAAATTAATTTTAAATTAATACTTAGATAACTTATAATTTTCAATGTCTTGGCCCATGTTGTCAGAGAATATGACTGCCCTTCAAATAATTAGGAAACGTATATACTTCTGTCTCCAATTTATTGGTTCGCAGAGGACTGGATTAGACACTGATTACCAGCAACAGAAAATTTTGTAATCTAACTGTATAGTTCTCTTAGGCAGATTTCATCCATGAGCTCAATTAACTATCAGAATTAGCCCCAGGAAACATCAGAAGGGGAAAACATAAGCTGAGAAAGCATCAAGAATTACCATGTAAACTGGTCCATGAATCGTATCAATGCAGAGGCCTGCACCAGGTGGTAATGTAAGATCGGAACATGCTGATACAGAGACGATATCAGGCACATCAACTTTAATTGCTTGTCTATTAGGACTCGTATCTGCTGAATTTGATGAAAGGCTTCTTGACATGTGGCGTTGATCAACTTTACTGATCTGTCCAAGTAGGAAAAGGAATTACTAGTAAAGAAACTAACAACTATGTATCAAATCAAACGTGCAAGAACAACATTCAGATCCTTCTAGAAGGCAATAATTTCCTGTCATCTACTTGACAGATCTAAAAGAAGAAAACACCACTCCGTGCACATCAAATGAATTTAAGGTTGACCTCTAGGGAAATAAAGGTCAACCTTGGCGCAGCTGGTAAAGTTGCTGCCATGTGACCAGGAGGGCACAGGTTCGAGCCGTGGAAACAACCTCTTGCAGAAATGCAGCGTAAGGCTGTGTACAATAGACCCTCGTGGTCCGGCCCTTCCCCAGACCCCGCGCATAGCAGGAGCTTAGTGCACCGGGCTGCCCTTTAGGGAAATAAAGCATTCTCCAATTCAAGTGAGAAATTAGAACTTGATAACAAGGGAAAAATAGAAAAACCAAAATAGTCACAAACCTGTGACATGGTACGCTAACACAAGTGATATGCAAGGATAGAAGTTCAAAGAGATCATGTAAATAATGATTAGCAATAGTCAGGTTCTACCATGTGATCTACTGATACTTTTCCACAGTAGTTTAGTTATGCTATTATAATTATGCTGAAACCTCATAGCACGAATTTTGAATGCAAGACAGGTTTCATATGGAACTAGATTTCTAAATTGTCCGTGAAGAAAGAAAACAACAATGCTCGTCTCCCATAAAAACATTGTGTATTTATTGGTAACAAACTGAGGCATGGACTTTCATTACCTGTTGAAGTCCTTCGTGATTCAAAACAAACTGACAACGCTTCCAGTCACTGTGTGGTGCAAGCGGATTACCAGCAGGTGGTGCAGTTAGATATCCAACCTTTAGGTAGGGTAGAGGTAGCTGGAAATAGATAAGTGCTTTTAGAACTTCATTGCATGATAACTTATATACCCAGGATTCTAGCAAAATACATACCATAGATCGCACAAGCTTCAAGGCACTTGTATAAACCTGCATAAAAGCAACAAACTGAAATGAGGACAATGGGAACTGCTTAACAAGTTAAAGCAGAAGAATAGCCACTGGCTTCCTGATGACAATTTTCCTTCACAAGCGAGCATAATAATGATCAAAATCTTGAATTCCCTTCACTTGCAATGTGTATCACCAGGGTAAAGAGTTATTACTCTCTTTTGATACAGCTAGTCAAACTAGACTGTAGAGTTAACAATAAGTGATAATGACACCAACACCAACAGTTACTGTGTCACGGGTAGATTAGTTTGAAGAAATAGGAAGAAAAGGCAAGGATTAGAAATATAATGCATTTCTAACTTTACCCAATGTTTCCATTCCACTCCTTTCCTTTTCATCACAACAAATTGACACCTTAGTTATACAAACAGAATTATGATGGAGATAAAATGGTAGCATTGTGGTACTAAAATCATATATTTCAGACAGAAACGATATACCGAGTAATTTGGTTTCAGTGCATGTGCAGCGGCAATGTAAATCGCAGACTGGCTGTACAACTCATTAGGAGAAATCTCTTTAGCGTTAACAGCTCCCCCTGTTCTTGACATGTCTTCTGCTAATCCATACTGCAACAGAGTGATGCAAAAAGAAGGTTATCATCATTCCACTTTGTCCTTTCACATTGCTTAATTTATTTCATTTTTCACTTGAATAGGAGGGAGGTAGTTGGAAATGATCATCACTCTCCAAGTACAGAAGCCAGAGAGCAGATATGTTAAACCTACCAGAACAGTTCCAAGGTTGTAGATTGCCCTATGGAAATCAAATTGCAGTTGGATCGCTGCACGAAACTGCAATTCATAAGAAAAAGTGAGAGCATGAACAAAAATCAGATACACAGTGCCTTTTAGGACTCTACCAAACTACTGGACCTAAAATGATTTTGCAGCTTATTCTTCACATTTAGGATCTGTCATCAAATAACACCAGTACCTTACTAATTGCCGTTTTGACAATTGTCAGCTTTTCTCTGGCAGGAACAATTGCACTGAGTTCCTGAATGCATTTCAAAAAGCATAAGGTCAGCTTTCAATCTGGCAAACTGAAATAAAGAGCAAATTCAGGAACTATACTGAAATAATCTACGCTAAGTCAATATCTTAAGTCTGGAAAAGCTTGTCCAGCAAGAGGATTTTTCTCAAGTACAGGTACCTGCAGGGCAAGTCCCCAGTTGTTCAATGCCTGGAATGACAGTTAAAAGGAATTAGAGTAGGGAAAAAACTCTTACGGACAAGAGATCAAGAGTATATCATTATAAAGCAAAATAACACATTTCAGGAGAAAAGCAGCAAAATTCATATGAAATGAACAAGCAAAGTCTGCATAACCAGAAAATTCAGCAAGCGTAACATATAGAAAATTGTTCAACATAAAAAACCACCTAATCACTTCAGAACAATAGGAGATCAATTAGCTGGTATGTTGATATAAAAACAGAGTACAAATGCATCCTTTAGATAGAGTTATATGATAAACTGGTAACTGGTATACCTAAAGAAATAATAAGGCTACTAACAGAAGAAGGAAAAATCAAAAGGATACCTTAGGTTTTTCTTTGTGATAATACAGACTTCACAAAAATTAGCATTCAAAAGAAAAGGCAGGGGTTGGAAAGAAACAAAAAGGGAACAAATGGCCACTATTAGCATAAGTTAAGCTAGCTTAGAAATTACCTGTGGACTGTTCCAGTTGAGCTGGACAGCTTTTTCATAGTTCTTTGTTGCCTGAGAATTTAAAGAACAAGAAAGTTTTTCGAATAAGGTTGAGCTTACTTGAAATCAATTAAACAGCAAAGCTTATAAGCTGAAGGAGAAAGAAGAGAACAACACAAGCTTTGCATCATAAGTTTGCCAACTAGATATCATTAACTTAGGACTCATTAACAGAAACGTTTGTGCTTATTTCAGCTAAAGATAAAAACAAAAATAATGTGTTTGTATTAAGTTTCTAGAAAAATGTAAATAAGACATGTTTCATTATAAGAGGTCTTCAGGACCAAATAAATGAACCTTGGCAGGAACAAAAGCAGCTTTTGAACAAAGTTGGAAAGAAGAAAAGGACGAACATGGTAGTGAGCCGTGAAAGGTAGTGCAGAGGTGGGGGAAAGGGGGAAGGAATGGTGTCAAACGGGGTTGGAGGATAGAGAGGCGACAGCAACAGATGAAGAGGAAAAAGAATGAAGAAAGGATAATGGAGGGGTGCGGAGAAGAAAAGTGGGTTGGGGTTGGAGAGCAGGTGGGAGGGGTAGTATTGCGGATGAGGGGTAAAGGTGCGAGAGAATGTTGGGGGTTAAGGATCAAATAAAACAAAAACACACTTTATCTTTCTTTTTTGTGTTTGGGTGTGCACTTGAACATGTGTGTAAAACAGAAACAATTACAACACCATATATTGAATTCTATTTTCAACATTCTGAAACTTAAAACAGGAAAGAGTTTCTAGTTACCAAACAGTTCCTCAATTAGGTAACAAAGAAAGAATAAGGCAGAATAAGTAAGCTCCAAAAGCACATCAAATTCAAGATGATACCAAAGCGACTGTTCCAGTGTGACAATAATTCAGAATAACTTCTCATATCTTCAACCATGGTTCTTGCTAAGGTTGTGCATCTACTGACAGAATATAGAAACGAAGAAGAGGAAAGATGTCTCTCATCTTTTAGGACTAAAGAGAACACTCTTTTCGCTCCTGAGGCAACGAGAGCAAATAACATAATAGAGCTAACACTAACCTGCTTCCAAAGTTCTTCAGCTTCTTTTGTACGACCCCGGATTTTCGCTCGATCAGATATTGCAATGGCCCAGTTATAGTAAGCCTGAGATAAATAGGAACAAGAAATGGCCTGAGATAAATAGGAATAAGACATGGATGAAACACGACAGACCCATGTTCAGACTAACCCCTCTCTACCAACTACCCTCTCTTCCTTAACGTGTTATAATGCTTTGACTATATATTGATATATAAGTGAATGTGTCTGTTGTGTGTATTCGATATTAGGGATAGGAACTTCTACAAGCACTACTAATTGCTCCTGCAACTCAATGCCAAAGGATTCACTTCAATGGAAGTGGACAATACAGTATTGAATTTGCAATTTGGTACAACGTTGTGGGGTTTGCCGCTGGAGAATAATGAAAAGGATATATCGAAAAACAAATCATCAGATGGAAAGCTAATACATATAACAATAGTGAGAGATCATAACATAGGCCACTGAATAGTGACTTTCATATAAAGTATTCTGATCTTGCAGTTAAATCTCACTTGTGGGATTACTTTGGGTTTGTTGTTGTTGTTGTTGTTGATCTTGCAGTTAAATCTTACTCCGTTTAATATCACAATGTAACCCGGACTACTTTACATATACACAAGTTAAATATATGAATTGTTAAAAAAAAGGGAGACTATTATATAGTTTTGAATACATACATCATTGAGCGTAGGACAAAGACGGGTTGCCTCCTCATACTTCTTGCACGCCTCTTCCAGCAAATCATCTTTTGAAGGTGAAGTGGAATCTGGGTTTACATTGTCTGCACTTTCCTGCATGAAAAATCAAAACTACGAATTGTCAAACTACGAGTAATCTCTATAAAAGGAGATTCAGATCCTTTTGATATGAAGATAATGGGGTTTCTCTTTCTTACATTCTTTTTCCTTTTCTTTAGGTAATTCCGAGGATGCTATTGACAAACAAAAAAATAAAAAAATTACAAAAACAATCAGTCCAAAAAAACTGAGGAACCAAATTACCTGAAGAACCAGTGCCCAATTATAAAGCGCATCATAATCTTCTGGATTTCGCTCTAGTGCACTAGCATACCTGCACAAAGATCAGAACTCAGATAGGCATTCATGAAATATCAAAGCTTAATATGGGAGAAATTGCTATGCAGTTTAGAGTTGTGCACAAATGCACTAACCAGACCAAAAAGAGGAAACAAACAAAATCGCCGAGAAATCCCACATTGACAAACAATCAATTCTCAACATGACATGAATAGTTTTCTTTTCTTTTGAGCTATCATGACATGGAATAGAAATTGAAACAGTTGTTTCACACTTCAAGGTTTCTTTTTCTTCCATAAAATAGCTGTTCATTTAGGGGTCCTAGCGGAACATTTCAAAGTATTCAATTAATTCTTTTTTGAGATAAACCATCTTACGCAGAGCAGACAGTGAATACTCTTTCAAATTCAGTAACAAACTACTCTATAAAGGTACTATCTCACGTCCTGATCACCATGTAGGAAAATCCTGGAAAACAACCCCCTATAGAGTGGTATGTTTAACTTGGTGGTTAAGGAGGCTTGGCTAACCCAGCACAACCTGCAGAGGAGGAGATTATACATCTATAATAGATGTGTTTTGTGCGAGGAATATGAATATGCAAATCATCTTTTCATTCACTGTAAACTAATCAATCAGTACCGGAGCATGCTATTGAACATATTTGAGGTGAAATGGACCATACCAAGGACACGATGGATTTATTCGTAAAGTTCGAAATTTGGATAACCTACTGCAATTCTATGGTGGGTGATTTACGGGGAAAGAAATCATTAATATTCTGAAGAAAAAAAGGAATAGTTAGATACAAATGGTTTTGTGTTAGCATTTTGGCTTAGCAGGGTGATTGTAAATGAAGTTGATACCATGTTAGACTTCCACTTTCATTTGCAGGATTTGTAGAGTTTTGCCGTTTGTAATGTACGTCTCCAGCACCCACTTAGTGCTGGAGATATCTCGATAAAATCGTAACCTATCAAATAAATTAAAAGGCGAACTCCGACTCCTTGTAGAAAGTTAATTGTCTGAAAACCTCTAGATTACAAACCATAAAACTTGTCATGAAATTGGAAATTGGAATGTCACAACCTAGACCCAATTAAGATGTGTCACTCCCTAACTAAAATGGTGCTAATATTAGATTTACCTCCGGGCAGCATATGTTAGAATCCGTTGGCGAGATCGACCCTCCTCGTCAGCACCTGTGACGCTGTTAATCAACTCCAAGGCAGCATTACTGTCTGTCTGCTGCTGATTGCTCTGTTGACTGGAGAATGAAATTCACAAGTAAATAGGAAAATGAAAGTTAGACGTATTGAGGTATTGAGGTCAAGCTGAAGTAATTTATCACAAGTAAATAGGAAAATGAAAGTTAGACGTATTGAGGTATTGAGGTCAAGATGAAGTAATTTATGGTTGTAGAAGTGATTCAAAAATAACAAGCAGAGATCAAAACTCATTTTTTTGATAATTGATAATGGATAAATAAAGTCATTACACAGTTAAAGCACGAAATGCATTCAAATATTACATCACTAGAGAAACTCAGCTTGTTCATTTATCCCTTAAATAGTCCGACTATCCCTCTTAATTTCAGATTCAGATTTGGGAGATTGATATTAACAGCATCTTGTTTTAATTTACTGAAATAACAAAAAAAAAAAAAAAAAAAAAAAAAAAAAAAAAAAAAAAAAAAAAACTGTATGTGCCATAGTGTGCAAAATCATATTAAATGGATATGAGATGTTACATATACACATACCTAACTCTTAATCTAAGAGGGTGATCTATGAGTCTATTCTCGAGGATCAAAACAGAAGCCTCAACTAACTTTGAAGCATGAATTACACGAGGAGAATCCTTCTGCTCTGAACCCATAACTATGCCATCAAGCAAGCCGAAATACTTTAAATTCATTTTGTGCTTTAAACATATTACTTTTGTGTTTCTTTATGTGTACTTTTGTGGAAGAAACTGGGCGAGACAATATCAGTGGTCAAGACAAGAAGGTGGCAGAGTGTGGTACCTTCAGATGCTGGTATGGTCATAACTCATAGACCAACCATCATCTTCTTCAACCTTGTCCATTTTCTAGTCAATTAATGTTCATGCTTCATTTACCTTCATTCGTGGTTATTTTCAACAACTGTGCATGCTTTCTTGCTTTTGTGTTTGCTAATTAGATGAGTACATTTTACATTCAAGAATGCACTTTTACTGCTGACCAGCCATAATCTTCTTCAATCTTGTTCATTTTTTTTGGTCAAATTTTATTTATATTTCATTTATCTTCGTTCATGATCATTTCATCCACCGACCTGAACTTTTTTGCTTTTGCATCAACTGCAGTTAACTAGGAAGAGTATGTTTTACAATGAAGAACTCACTTTTACTATCGACCAGCTATCATCCTCTTCAATTAGCTAGTTTTCTAGTCAATTTTCTTCCTGTTTCATTTATCTTTATTCATGATCATTTCATCCAACCACCTAATTCTGTCGCTTTTGCATCAACTACAGTTTCCTTAGACCAGTATATTTTACAATCAAGATCCCGCTTTTACTGTCTCTTATTCAATTAGTTTCTAGTCAAGTTTTCTTCCTGTTCCATTTATCTTCATTCATGATCATTTAATTCAACTGCATGAACTTCATTGCTTTTCTGTCAACTATAGTTAACTTGGAAGACTACACTATACATTCAATAATGCAGTTTTAATATAGAATCACCTGATCGCTGATTCAATCTAGCACATTAACGATATATTTTTCTTTAAGAGTTTATGTTATATAAACCGTCATTGTAAAGATTTTTTTACCTGTGAGGAGTATCGCCTTCGCGTCTTTCCGCTTCAGAATCATCATTAGCATCGCCATTCTTCAATTCATCCAACAACTCTCTCATTGTAAATGTTCGGCTACCTTCATCTTTTTTTAGCTGCTTCGAATTGCTCTCCGATTCAACTGTATCATCCTTTAGCTCATCTACCTTCGCATTTGAATCACTCATCTCATTCGATTCGACCAATTTGGACGCCTCTGCATTGTTCAATTGTACATCACTCACATTGGGATCTGAATCACTCGCCTCATTAGATTTCGCCAATTTCTCGTCAGATTTCGAGGCCTCTGCAACACTCGATTGTACCTCTCCTGATTCGTTAGCAATTTCTTCGGATATATCAAGCTTCGGATCTACCGCGCCGGTTGATGGTGATTCCTCCGGCCGGATCGCGGTGTCTCCGGGATCTGTCACGGTGGCCGGAGCTTCTGCTTCTTTTTGCAATTCCGGTTGATCGGCGGTTGAGGACATGGTGATGAAGGAGAGAGGGAGGAGCTAGCAATGGCGAAAGTAATGTTTGAGTGTGAAGCAACGAGCTAATGGCGAAGTACATGTGACGGAATTGTTTTTGAATCAACCTGTAAGGACTAGTAAATCATAAACCAAATAATGGTTGGGAAAAATCAGCAAAACTGGAGACTTTTGAGGTTTAAAACTAGTTTATAATACTTTAGAGGGAGGGGAATTATATATGGAGTAATTGGCAAATGAATCTTGAAGCATAATTCAATTTTACCCATAACTTTTTGGTAAATGCCTATCGATATTAAAACAAGAATGTTTTTTTTTTAAACAGTTAATTTGATAGAAAACATGTGATAACATTTTAAATTTTTTAAAAGTAGTAAATAATTTATATTTTTTTATATTATAAGAATGTTATTATTTTGAAATATTTCTATTAGACAAAGTATCACATGGGCATCATATCACTTGAAATTTTGAACAATGAGTAGATATGATTTCAGTTTAGTATTGTTTTTGGCTCTTATAATATTTATTTATTTATTTATTTATTATCTTCCTATTTATTTCACATATTAGCAAGATACTATTCATTAGAGTATCAAAAGATTAATTTTATTTATAATTTTATTTTCAGCATATCGTACGATTTAATTACTCACCTAATATTAATTTGAAAAAACGGCATGGCATGATAACACATAAAGAGAATTGGCAATATTTTAGCCCTATATTAGGTTTGGCAAAGGTAACCCCAACAAATTAGCATTATATAGCCAAATTCTAAATAACCCCAATTTCTTATTTATTCTCTTTCCCATTATTTTTTCTTCTCTCTCCCCATATTTCTTCTCCAATCTTTTCTTTTTTTCTTCTTCTACAATCTAACAAATTTTCTTCTTTGGAATGGCACGTGTTCTTTGATGATATTTGGAAAGTTGTAATGGTTGATACATTTTTCAGAAATATTATGGGTTCATGGAGATGAGGAGAAGCGGAGAGCGAATGCTTTTGCGGATAGTAAAGGGATCGATTGACACTTTCATGATAGACACAATCCTAATGTGAACCCATTTGATTTCTCGTATCTCCAGTACAACCCAAATTGAACGAATATAAAGTTCCTCCAACTAATTTGAAAATAGATATTTTCTTGTGAATTTTCTTGTGTTATTTGTCACAGGGCCAATTCTCGGTGTTGATGGGTGAATTCATCCTCATTCTTTTTTCTGTCCACTTTTTTATTTTTTAATTAAAAATAGTTCTAATTCTCATCTTATATATCAATGTATTTCTAGCACATATATATATGTATATATCCACAAGAACTTATGTGTGATACACTGGATATACAAAGGAAAAAAAATACATTTTTGATATACAAAGAAGAAGAAAAAATCCTGATATATATATTTTGATATACACAAAGAAAGAAAATAAACTTGTGATATATATTTTGGTATACATATTATTTGATGTGTTATACACTTGGATATACAAAAATATAATTATTTTTACCGTGATATGCATTGATAAAGAGACAACAATAAATTTTAAATAACTATTTTTATAATTTTTATTTTAAGATATACAGAGAAGGAAAATAAAATTTTAATATATATTTTGATATAGACAAAGAAGAAAATAAAGTTTGTGATATACATTTTGATATACATATTATTATTGTGATATACATTTATTGGCCATCTAATGCCAATATCTATAAATAGGGATTTTTCTGCTAATTATGTGGGCATGTTGTCGTACTATGCCAAAAATAATTTTAATATCATTTGCAAAATAAAGTTTTTAGCGTCCAAGTTAAAAAGCTCAAAGAAAAACAAGGAAGAAAAAGCTAGTTGGGCTGGTTTCGGCCTAATAATTTGAAACTTATTTACCAAAATTGTCATAATTTTATATATCACCTGTCCTAAATAATGATTACTTACAAATTATATACAATCCATTAATAGTGCCTTAAATTAGGGGATTTAGTTATATCATTTTCCTATTTTCTCTCCCCTCCTCTTTCAATAAGAAGGACACGGCTCCTCTCCAATTTTTGGGTTGAGATTACCTCCATTACTTAATGCTCTAGTAGGTTTCAAGGTTTCAATACACAACTTGAATGATGCCATGTGTTCCTATGAAAATTTAATGGTGTAGTTATATTTCTTCTCATCCCCTATCTATGACTGATTTATTTTTTCAAAAATAAAAAATAAAAATAAATAAATACAGAACCCTGCTTATCCAGCAAAATGACTGCTTTTCCATTTCTATCTCTAGCTAAAAAAGAATTTCCAAAACTAATACTTGGTAACTCTTAACAAGACAGCAATCTGATATCCAAAAACGTAAATCAACCATTAAAACGAGAATCTCAAACTACTCAAAGGCTCTCCTACATGATAGCATTAACAGCGCTTGCAATCCTAGGCCACATATCATCATACTTTTTTCCAATTGGCCCTGTAATTGCAGATCCTTTCATTTCGCCCTTAGAGTTCTCAATTACACCAGCATTATCTTCGAAATACATGTTTCCGATTCCATCACAACATGGAGAGGTTGTTGATTTTGTACAAATTTAATGCAAATTTGAATATCTACAACAACATACATACTAAAAATAAAATTTATACAATTAATTTTATAGTATACAACTTATTTATAACTTTCATACATCATTTCTATCCAGTTAAATACAATTACAACATCGCACAACTTTATTATAATTTTCATACAAATTTTATACAATATGTCCTTTGTATGTATTTTGTATGTGATTTGTATATATTTTATATGTGATGTGTGCTTCTTCTTCTCTAAAATTTCAATCAAAACTTTCTCTCTTAATACAATTTTGATATATATCAACAACTTTATGTAAAAAAAAATAGGTTAGATAACTTAAATACAAATTTTATACAACGATTCATATATTATATAATTATTTTTTAACTTTCATACAACATTCAAATAAAAAAATATATATAACTACAACATAATACAATTTACATACAATTATAATACAACTTTACTATAATTTCGTAAGTATATTGTATGTCATGTGTTCTTCTTCTTCTTCTTCTTCTTCTTCTTCTTCTTCTTCTTCTTCTTCTTCTTTTTCGAGTTTCAATCTGAAATTCATTCAAAATCAAGTATAATCTTCATCAGATACCCTCAAAATTGAGATATAAACTCCAGATAATATTCTCAATTATTTGCAACAACACCCAATCCAAACAAATAATAGTTTTTAAAAATCCAAATTCGAATTCAAAGTTTCAAAGCCTTTTAATAGTTGTCAATGGTGGAGAGTCAAACACTTTTAAAATTTATTGATTGACAATTTTAATTTGAACACCAATTGTGCAACATGAAAGAAAATTGTTAAGTTAAAACTCTACAGTAAAACGATTAAAATCCATTGATGAATTCCATTAAAAATATATTTAACATGAAAGGATAAAAAGTAGAGAACACCATAGGAAGAAAAAAAGAAAAATTTCACATAAGAACAACTGAACTCCCTACTTTTTAATTTTATAGCCCACATTTTAATTTAAAACCAACTAGCCCAAAAATAATAGGCTAAGATTCAACATCCAACTCCAATAGGTTCTCGAAATTACTATTTAATTTTTTAAAAAGATTGCTCAAGCTTTTAAGTTAATTTTCGAATCAGTAACTGTGACTCAAATATTAGTTCAACAAACTAAATCCACTTGAGTGGTGAAAATTAGATTTTTAACAGGCTTAAATATGTGGGTTTAAATTTCGAATTTAATTTTGTGAGAAATTTGAAGTGGACGTTATTTAGACTTGTTAGAAATAGTATAAGAGGTTGTATATAAAATTTGAAGTCATTTAATGGAGATTTGGACTGGTTTTGAACAAGAATTGCAAACTGAAAAATGTGGAAAAACTTCATCTACAGACGCTTGTATAAAGATGTATAAAATAGTATAATAGTGTATAAGATGTGTTTATACACTCATATAGACTATTATACAAAATTATACATAATTATACAAAAAAACTGATTTCGTCTTCTTCCTTGCGTCTTTTCTGAAATTTAGCTCAAATATTGCTCAAATCTACTTCAAATCACTTCAAATTTAAATTTTGAACTCCTTTTGATATTTTCAATCAATTGGAACAACACCCAATCCAAACAAACTAACAAACTCAAAAAATCATATATTCGAAAGCAAAGCTTTGAACGGCCTTCAATAGTGGACTTCTACTCTTTAATTTTCTTACATTCCAACCAGGTGACACATGGGGGAAGCAGACAATATACGGCCCCTTGAAGCATATGTAGAATATGTGAGAAAAAGAGAGAGTAAAAGCAATTGTTATGATAACACAAATTTAACTCCATAGCTTTTAGAAGCAATGGTTGCAAGAACACAGATTTTGAATTTGTTAGTACTTTCAAATTATGTACAATATGGGCTAGGTCGGGTAAAATTTAAAAATATGGATTATTTTTTTTGTTATGGTGTAAAGTCACGTGTATTTTCTTGTAATTCAAAAATTGGGGAAAGAACATAGAATGAGGGATAGAGTGAGAGAGAGAGAGACAAAGAGAAAGAGCAGGAGAAAGAACAAGGATGAGAAATAAATATTTCCCTGTTCAATTTCTAATATAAATGGATACTCATTAATACTAATTGTATATAATTGGTAAATTGTATATGTCCATATATTTAAGTTAAAACTTGATTAGGGGTAATAAAGTTTCATATGTAGTATAGGAAAGTAAAAATACAAAAAAAAAGAAGGAAATTTTAACTCCTATAGCAAAAGTATACACCCTATTTATTATAAATCAAAATTATTTTAAAATATTATTTTCTAGAGTTACCTTTTATATTTTATAGCAAAATAAGTATTTATAGTATATACTACTATTGCATGCATAAAATAAGGCATGGAATACGCTATTTATGTTTTCCTCCCTCTTAGACAACTGGACATACCTATTTTTAAGGTGATTGTCGTTACTGTATTCATGAATACATGGCGCGAATACATGTGAATACATGCGCATACAGCTGAACTGTCTTGATTTTAGGCATTTTTCACTGATGTATTCATGAATATAGCAGCGCGAATATATGTGAATACATGCGCGTACAACTGGACTGCCCTGATTTTAGGCGCTTTTTGGTGTATTCATGAATACATAGCGCGAATACATGTGAATACATGTGCGTACAGCTAAACTGCCCTGATTTTAGGCGCTTTAACTATTGTATTCATGAATATAACAGCGTGAATGCGTACAGCTGGACTGCCCTTATTTTAGGCACTTTTTGTTGCTGTATTCATGAACACATGGCGCGAATACGTGTGAATACATGCACGTACAGATGGACTACCTTGATTTTTAGGCGCTTTTTGCTGTTTTATTCATAAATATAGCAACGTGAATAGAATGAATACACTATCGTAATAAATAAATAGTAGCTATAGTAAATAATTATGTACATGATAGCTATAAGAAATTAATAGGCGGTTTTTGAAAATTAACAAGCCGATTTCACTTACTACATACCTCGTATAAATTTATACGAGTTACTTCTCTACAAAATTGAAAAAGCAACGATCAGTGGGGACATACAGTTCCCACCAACCAATGGCTAGAGCCACCTTAGGCTCAGCCACCCATTCCTCCTCCTCCTTCCGCCACCTCAAATTCATCTCTAATTCCTCTCCTCCCTTCCACGTCACCACAATGTCAGCCGCCAAAATTCCTCATCCATCATTGGAAGTCATCGGCGGAGCTCGAGACAAGTTCCTTCCTGCATTTAAATCACTTGATAATCCGTATAATTCTTATCCTATCGTCGCTTCGAATCGACATATAGAGACTATTTTTGCAGCTTTTTTTAGGTTGGTTCCTGACGTTCGTCTCCGACGAGAGTGTCTTCGGACTAAGGATGATGGCTCCGTCGCTCTCGATTGGGTCTCCGGCGACGATCGCCGTTTACCTGCCGATTCTCCGCTGCTCATTTTGCTTGTGCGTCTTTTTTCTATTGCTCATTGGGCACAACCTATATATGCGATTAAAAATTTTCAAAAAATTAAACATATATACAAAATTCGAAACCGCTGGTGCACATGAGTAGAGTTTTGTTTGTGCCATATATGTACTTTAAAAGCTTGTGAATTATACTCTATCCATAAATCATGTCATTAAGCTTAAAATGCGAATTTTTTAGTTAAATTGTTTCTAAATATAGAAATATGTCATTCTTTTTTAAACAACATATTAAAAAGGAAAGTGTACTACATTTGCACCCACTGCTTACGGATTCTTGATGCTAAAAGTAAGTGTGTGCATATAGAATTGGAAGTGTACTAATGGGGGTAATTGCAGCCAGGTCTGACTGGGGGAAGCGATGACTCATACGTGAGGCATATGCTGATGAGAGCTAGAAGTAAAGGTTGGAGAGTCGTGGTGTTCAATAGCAGAGGCTGTGGAGATAGTCCTGTCACTACTCCCCAGGTACTCTCTCATTTTGGTCTTTAATTACTTTGGTTGATTGATATATCAATAAAGATTTGGTCTTTAATTTCCTCCCTGCTGATAGTATTAGTTTTGATGTGATTTATGGTGGAGTTTGGCCAATGTTTGTATCTGTTATTCAGACTTTTTGGTTAAGGAAAGAAAATGATATGGTTTAGTTAATGTGGCTGATGGGAATTGGCAGCTTGAAGTGTTTGTTGTGGACAGTTGATTGCTTTTGTGCTGTCCATTGACTCAAGTCTTTTGGAATTTTTTTGGTCAACTGGTTAGGCAAACAACACTATCAACTTGATCCCTTCTGAGCAATTTCCAGCCAACAACTTTGCTCTTTCCTTTCTCTGTCCTTCCTGCTTTGTGTATATTTAAGCACTATACCATAACCTAAACTGCTGCCTTACAAAACACAGCTTTCTGATCTTATACCACTTCAAAATGGCCAGTGATAAAAAATCATGCCAAGATGAGCGCGCAGGAGCAGAAATTGTATATGGAGCCGAAGAGTGCTATAGCAATTCTCTTGAGCTCCTGAAAGAGTTGGGATTTCCCAAGGGCATCCTTCCTCTTAAAGACCTTGAAGAATGTGGTTATGTTCGTGAAACCGGATTTGTGTGGATGAAACAAAAGGCTCCATATGAGCATTACTTCGTCGCAACAAAAACTCTAGTTAGCTATGCAACCGAGGTCACTGCCTACGTGGAGAAAAACAGGATGAAGAAAATGACTGGAATTAAGAGTAAGCAGCTATTTCTGTGGGTGCCAATAGTTGAGATGAGCATTGAGGATCCTTCTCAGAATAAAGTTTACTTCAAGACTCCTGTCGGAATTGGAAAGTCTTTTCCCCTCGCTGCTTTCATGACTGAAGAAGAAAAGCAGAAGTTTCTGGAGAAAGCTAACGAGTAGAACGATTATCTATATGATTGCCCTTTTTGCTCTTTTTTCCTTTTCTGGCATCAGGGCATTGATGCCTTTTGTTTGATCAGATTTTCTTATGCTTGCTAAAAGAATGATCTTTATGACCCAAGTATAAGTTTCTCCGTGCATTGGATTAATTTTCAAATTAATCTTCAAATTAATCTCGTTTAAGTTGATTATATTTTTTTTATGCTAATACTCTTTCACTTGGATTTTCCACTTTAGAAGGGCTTGAAATATTTTCTTCAAAGATATGTTGGTTCCCCTTGCTTGACATGATCCAGTCTCTTTCACCAAGAGATATCAAAAACGGTTTAACGCAGAGTGAACGAAAACAAGTAGAATAATGGTCAAACAAAGGTTTCAGTCTACCCTATAGCTCAACAAGTTCAACTAAGGAGGATTTGTCCCTTTTCTTACTTCAATACTTTACCTGTATAACAGGGGAAACAAAATGCAAGCTTCAATTAGTTGAGAAGAATGGGTAAGTTGAGCATGAAGTTTCCTGAATAATAGTTCTCAAAAGTTGTCCAAGAACTTCATGCGAAGATCTTTACAATCTGGTGTCCATTTAAATTCTAGATATCTTCGCCCAGTTGAAATCTAATTATAGGCAGTGGATGCATGCCATGATGGTTATATAATTTAAACAAAAAGGACGTGATTGTCCAAGAAGGCAAGAACTTATGATTGATCAGACCTTCAAGGATACATTGAAGCTCCTTTAGAAATTTAAGATTTCAATGCAGATATTTTTTCAGGAAATTAGAGTAGGTTTCAGGGATAGGGGAGGGGAAGAAGCAAAGAGATGATAACAGTCTGGACATTTTTCTCCATCTATGCATGTTCAAACTCACAATCTGGCTTATACTAGAGTCTCAGGTATAGCTTTATGTTGAAGCTCAACAATTTTAGTGGACACCTAGGCAAAGTAGAAAATATCTATTGCCATTTTAGGCATTAGAATGAGTTATGTACTCCAGAGTTCTTGGTGTGTATAGTAGACTTTCTAAAGTCTGCTTATCATTATAGCTCCTCATTGAACTTTTTGAATATTCAGATAATTAACTCCATTATTCCCAAACATGATCTGCTTTATTTCTCAAATGGTACTGGTCAAAAGTATTCTAGATTTTTTTAGCTTGACAATCTGTTGAGATGAAAGATACAACTGGTCATGAATCAACCTAATTAGGGTGCAACATATTATTTCAAAAAATTATCCTTCATCTTTAAGGTAATGTCAAAATCCAATCATCTTTGACATGTTAAAATTTTTCTGTTCGTCTTTATTGATGAGCTAATTCATGCAGTTCTATTCAGCTTCATTTCTTGGTGATATATATGAAGTGGTGGCACATGTCAGCAATCGCTATCCAGAGGCAAATTTATATGCAATAGGTTGGTCTCTTGGAGCAAATATTCTAGTTCGCTATTTGGGACAGGTAACTCAGTTAATTCAATTTGTGCGCTTATCAGTATTCCTCCTCCATTTTGGCCTTCTACTGATCTACCATGCATCTACATACGAGCTGTTTTAGAGAATTTAATTCTGGTATGATGATATGGTGAACTTGTTGGCATATTTTAATTTAGTACTGTACTTCTGCTGAGTATTAGTAATCTGGCTAACATCATACAGTTTGTTGAGAAAAGGTGAAGACTCTGTGTGTTGATGCTAGCATAACAACATCATAGAGCATATTTAGGAAAAATGTTCAGATGTTTTCCAGTCTTCTTTTTCTCAACTATTTCTGGTGGTTCAGTATGTCTGGGTGTTTGTCAGTGGAATTGGGTTTTTTAAGCTTTTGGATAATAAGACCATCCAGATCCATCTAGTAATGGCGGTCTCTTATTATTTTTTATTTTTCAAACGCTGGTACATGCCAGCATTTGACCCTGGTCTCCAAGGTTTTCAACCACTTCATTGATGCTAGGCCACACCCTTGGGTGCTTAGTAATGGTGTTCTATGTTTTCACCGATATGGCTTATTTTCCTCACGACGATTCTTCATGTCTCTTGTCTGTCTGGACACCCAAAATCCTTGTATCTTCTCCATGCATTTTGAGTAGTTCGACAGTTCAAATGATATTTGATCTGCCCAAATATCAGCTCTGTCGCCAAGTTATTGAGATGATTCCGTTGAATCCTGATTTTAGTCAACATAAAGAAGTCAATCTTGCTGTTTAAGAAAACTAACTAGAAGGCGGTGTTTTGGTAGCATGTATTACCCTCTCAAATAAAGGAGCACTCATTGAACTGGAATGGTTTTTCCTTTTCAATTCTTTTTAATTCCTTATTAGCTATTTTTTTTTAATTATCATATTGAAAGTTATCTCTGAGTCACCCTACAGGCAACATCTGCAGGAGAGAAGTAGGCAATAAATCATACTTGTGCGTGTTTTTGAAATAATAAAATGTTATGATGTAATCTCTTTAGCTGGTTATATAATCAGCTACCTTAGGTGATTTAGCACTGCTGTCTCCATTACCTTAGGTGATTTAGCACTGCTGTCTCCATTTGTTTGTCCTGGATCAACATTGTGCCTTTTGTTCTGAAGATCAAATTTGAACAACTTTTGAGGAAAACAAGTTGAGTACCAGCTGCTGTATGTCCTAAAACAATATTGCCCATCAGTTGCACACTTGCACTATTTGTATTATCAAAGACAATAAACTTTTATTCTGTAATAAACCAATTTCATTTCAATCTATAGGCAAATGATGAAAATAAAGTCGGAGTGGATGCAGTGCTTGAACTCTTAGTTAAGGATTCTGTTCTCTAATATTTGTTTGTTTAATGATGCATCTATTGCCAATTTAATTAGACACAATAAAGATGGGGGCACCCAACTGATTGTCATGCATTTGTGGGCATTCCCTGGAGTTGTTATTTTGGTCTCTGTTTACCTTTCAATTTCATCTTCTATTAATTCTTTATTCAAATTCAATTCCAACAAATAAAATAGAATTTATAGTCTACTTCCCTTTGAATGATAAGTCCCTTAACTCTTAATAATTAAAGGAATGACTCCATATATTGCCCATCTTTCATATTTTATCGTTCCTTTGCAGGAGTCCCATTCTTGCCTTCTCTCCGGTGCTGTTTCCTTGTGCAATCCTTTCAATTTGGTCATAGCAGACGAAGATTTCCATAAGGGCTTTAACAATGTTTATGACAGAGCTCTAGCAAATTCTCTCCGCAAAATTTTCAAAAAGTAGCTGTGTAATTCAGTTTTTCCCTTTTTCCTCGCGGTACCTTATACCTCTTTTAACTGGATCTGTTGATTATAGGCATGCTCTACTGTTTGAAGATATGGAAGGCGAATTTAATATATCATTAGCTGCCAATGCCAAAACTGTCAGAGAATTTGATGATGGACTGACACGAGGTGTTTATACTTGTATGCAGGAAAGAAATAAGTTGTATATCATTGCATCTCAACTTATAAGTTATTGCTTTTGAATTTTGCAGTTTCATTTGGATTCAAGTCTGTGGATGATTACTATTCTAATTCAAGCAGCTCAAATTCCATTATAAACGTCCGTACACCTCTGCTTTGTATCCAGGTAAGCTTGTTTTAGCCAAAAATTATCCAATGTCCTTTTTTTGTTTGTTATTTTTTTTTTGATTAAGTGAAGTCTTCTATTAATCTGGTACCAAGATGGTAGTGAAACAGTTACAACAAGATAGCAACACTTCCACCAGTCATATTACATATCTCCTCCTAATAAATATAGAAAGTCCAAATATTACATATCCAATGTCCTTTTTGTTTGTTTTTTATTGTACTTCAGATGCCATTTTTATGTCTAGGATCATGGTCAGCACACTCATCCTTTGGCAAAATCTGAACATCATATCATATCATATTAAAATTCCATGCAAAAAAAGCTGAAACTTGAGAGAGAATAAATATTATGCGTTGTGTTTCCTTTAGACAATACACCCTTGTAGTTATCTGTTGTAGGATGCTTTCCAACATTGCGGATGAGCTTTATGCGAGTTGGTTAGTTATCTAAGGGCATTTCACCCTTTTCTTTTGAATATCAAGAATTACTTCACTTAATAAAATGTGAAGGATTTTTATTCAACTCAATTGGACCAGTTTCAGGAAAAAAGCATTGCACTAACTACTATTGCTCTCCCTAAGATATATAGTATAGATAATCATATTTTGACAAATTTGACTTTCCGGATCTTTATTGGACACGGAGACAAGTTGGTTTAGAGGTTGCAATGGCATAATCTTTAATCTCTTTGTGATCAAGAGAGCAATATTCCATCTCTTCTCCCAAAAAAGGAGGAAACAAAAGAAAGAAATGAGGGGAAATCAGAGGGATTAACTATGTATAATTCATCTTGCTCAACCTATATAAAAAGGACTAATCCTATTCAGTCCTCTGTCAAAAGTACGACAAGTGATGCCATCTCATTAATACAATGCGTTTTGCCTTTTTGAATCTCAGGTGGTAGCTTTTCTATCTTCACTGATAATCTTAAGAATAAATCATGAATGGTTTAGATGTTATATATTTGCAATTTGAAATTTCGCTACAGTTTTCTCCACAGTTCTCTGTGGATCTTCATTTCTGGTCAGTATGGTATATATTGTTATCAAAACTTAATAATAGAAAAGACCAGGTGTTGGTAGTAGATATCAAATAACTTCAGTAGAATCTCATAAGTGTTAGGTTATTCTTTTGATTAAAAGAAAAAGTTGTGGGGACTGGAAGGAAAAGGTGGAGATGAAAGCACTCCAGTTCTTTTGATATGCTTGTTAGGATTCTGCAAGTGTTAACTAAGACAAAAATGTGAAGTTAACTTGCTCCTGTTTATTTGTGGAGGCTGCAAATGATCCAATTGCTCCATCCAGAGGAATCCCTCGTAAAGATATTGAGGTAGCGCACTGTTCTTCATTCTCGTATCCCATTTTATTTGTTGATATTTTCTCATTGTTTATGGATGTGCATATGCTATTCTGCCAAACTATTTTTGTTTGTTGTTCTTCTTGCAAGTTTCTCATTCTGTTGTTTGTGAAAGTCTTAGCATTGTCCATTTGATCCTAGGATGTTAAAGAAGTCCTGTACCAATCATCTCTTAAAACAATTGTATTCCTAATATAAGTTGATTTTGGGTTTAAAACCCTAAATTGAAGT